TTAATATTTTTAAGTCTGATAAAGTCTGTTTCGCATGTTTGCTATCAACCTTCATGGTTCACAAACCTGTCACATTTAACACTGCTTTTAACAAAAGCTAGTCAATTATGACTGAATAAAAATGTGCCATTTTTGGAAAATTTAATCCACTTTGTAAGGGCCTTTTTCTGCTGTTGGCCCTTGCATGGGATTTTGAAGATCATAGGCCACATTGGCCTAATTTACCTAAATGGCGAAACATTGCAGAACTGAACGCACAGGCTTAAGAGCCCTTAACATGTTACAAATGAAAATCATTTCTTTCAGTAAATTTTCAAAATAAAGCAACTAATAGAACTAGAGGTATATTTATATACACATATGTATATGGGCATTTCCACACTAAAGGGGTACAAAATTGTGACATGAGATAATAATATCAAGTTGTTTTTCCTATTTTCCACTTGTACATTCCCAACTCATTGTTGAGGATTGTGCTTTTAAAGAATGTGTACGGGTTCTTCCAGCAGTCCCCTTTTCTGTATCTGAAAACGAAGTTCCAAGCAGTTGAGTTCAGGAAGTTGTCACGCTGAGTGTTTCCTGAGATTTTGATCCTCGATTTCGGGAGGGCACTCTATGGTGGCACCGACAATCGAGCGATCATGGTCACAGAGGCTTGAAGATGATGCTAGATGACTGTACGAGCATTTGCTTGATGATGAAGCCTCTTGAAGGCTCAGTGCGAGCAATGTAGTTCTAAAGAGCTCGCATGGGGCACCACCATATCCTCTGCTACTAATGAAGAGGAAGTCAACTTGGCCGGAAATATCTGGTCTGGAAATAAGTTGATTTATTCCATGTGTTGAACTTCACCTATGGGATAAAGTAAATGTGGTCATGTGCCCATGGCTAATAAGACCTGGTAAATTAGTGAAATTCCCTTCTTAAGGCAAGCTACTGCAGCAGCCAGTGAGGACAGTACAGTACTTGGACAGTACAGTACTTGGACAGTACTTGGATCCAAGATGCTAGGCCTATCTACCGGTACTTAACAGAAGGAGGTCAACTGATAAACCTGCTGTGCATCAGAGTGATTTTGAGGAAACTGAAGATCTATCATTGGAACCCTGATAGAGGACTACAATTATGGCTCGTCGGAAACCCCGGACAGTAGATATATATCTGAAACTGGTGTGGAATATTGTCAGCGAAATCCCAAATGATGGTGCAGATGCAGATTGGGATTGGCAGCTACTATCATACCCCATGGGGAATCAACTTGCTTCTGACTGTAAAGACTGTAGCTTCAGATAATGAAAGCATCCAGGTACAAGATGGAGAGTACATGTAGCTGTGTATGCGTGTAGAATTATTGTTGTGAGACCAAGGTGGTCCAGGAGTAAAGGGATTATGGCTGCTGTGGCCAGAAAGGAGCTACATGTATGAGTGTTACAATTATTTTCATAACTCTGTCCATCAAATGTGTGAATCCTGTCGCGTTGAAGCTGAAGGATTCCTCTAGACCAGAGGACCATAGGATGAGTATAAACTTGGCGAAAGGCTGGAGTTGGAAGCTGGTAGCCTGGAAGGGATGCAAATACATGTAGATAGGTGCAAGTAACGGTAGCATTCTGAGAATGTTGAGGACCTTTATCTGAATACTGATCGGAGAAGAAATTATTCTGTTGAAGTGAATTCAATACCTTCTTTCTGGCCAGGTGGAACGTTAGAAGGAACAGCCAACTGGGTGGCTCTGAAGTGGGCAGCCAGGCAGAAAGAGTGAGTTCCCCGGACAAAGCATGTAGTACACTACATCTGAACTGTGGAATTGTCCATCTGGACCAAGACAAGCTTGATTAGGACTTTGGATATGAGCAAATGCAAGGCCTTGAGCACTGTCAATAGCTCTGGTTGAAGGAATGCAAATGGCTCTCTTTAGTTGGCCAAGTGCTTGGTACTAACCATCCAGATGGAATCTGAAACCCTGTCCGAGGTACCCATTGCGATGGTAGAAGATGTAGTTACCCAGTACATTGTCCTGAAAAGGCCATCAGTGCAGTAAGTCATAGCTAAGATGGGTAACTGGAATCCCTTTGGAGATGAATCTTAGCCTAGATGGGAAGACAAGGAAAGGCTGCTCAGAGCGCCTGTGTGTCATGCACCAGGGAACTAGGTCTATCATCAAGATGCCAGAAGGTTCTGATGCCATCACGTTGTGTCTAACGTTCCCCAGTAATGCCTGAAACAAAGTTGGAAATGTTTCAAGGTAGGTCAACTGTCGTGAAGGAGCTTGATACTGAAGATGGCAAACAACATCAAGTGCGAGTTAGGCAGACTGTTGTTAAAGGCTATACTGGAGATACATGTAAGGTCTGTTATAGCTTATCATCTAAGTACAAGAGCAAATTGATCTGTTTTGCTGTAAAAAGAATGTTTCCACAACAACAGTGATTCTTATAAAGATCCAAAGGAGCTGTGAAAATCCAAAAGGTCTGTAGCGAAACCCTGTAGGTATGCGGAACTCCAACTTCTGATGATCCACGTATGGGTATTAGTATCCCAATGATTGATGGAAGCAGCAAACCAACCTGTCTTCAGAGACTGGAGGGAAGTAGAAAGCATTTTCATCTGAATTCTTTTGCTGCATGTCAAAGTTTGATAATGAGTCGCCGTATGTCAGACTGCTACCGACTGAGAAAAAAAGGTGAAGTAAGCCGAAACGCGATCCAGTTGGAAGTATCCTGATCTAGATCATTCCTTTAGGAAAGATATCCTTCTCTAAAGCAACAAACAAGTGTATGTTGAGGCAGAAGCTCGTGGTCAGGGAGAACCGAGTTAGATAAGAATTCCAGACAATGCTTTGAAGAAGTGTCTGACAAACCCCTTATGAAGTTACATAAAACCACGTCTAGCCAGACTCTGTAGGACAAATACTTGTTCTAAAGACTCGAAGCAGTGAAGATATGTCAAGATTCTGCTGTAAGCTAAGGATGAAGAAGAAGACCGGTCTACAAAACTCCTGGCTGAAGAAATTAATCTCAGTCAGTAGAATCATGCTGGTTTGAGACCCGGTTGGAGACCGACGTAGAAGATGTAAATGCATGCTAAGCACCGATGAGGATTAACTTATCTCGAAGTATGGAATCCTGCACCATAGTCTTGCCATTTAACCTGACACTATGCAATAGAAACATTCATCCAAGACAAGAATGCCATATAGCCAGAATTTGCAACAAGTCCCACTGCAATTCCAACAATAAAGCAGAATGATAAAATCTCCAATAAAAACTGCATCAGTGTAGAGAGATATCATGGTAACTTGCAAGGGCACCAGACAAAGGAATATTCTGTGAAGGTCCCGTGTCATAGATGGATTGAAAAGTAAGGCAGTAATCCTTGGTCTATTATAATAATCAACAAACCATCCCAACAGGCTAATGAATATAAACAGGTCAGCTGAGCAAGTTATTCAAGTGATAGAATATCAAGGAATCTGTAGAAGGAAGTCTCATTCATGACATTCCCCAACACAATTGTATCTATTGGGAAGAAGCAGGGAAAGAATGCAGCATCCAGACGGCAGTAACGTTTGAGTACAAGTCTATGGAGAGTCAAGACTTTTTTTAAATTTTTTTTTAACAATCTTGTAAATGATCTCAAACTAAAAGTGGCATCAGGTTGCAACATACTATCCAAAGGTAGCTTGAGCGTAGATACATGTGAGCCTGTATTATGAACATGCTCAAGAGGACCAACCCACTGTCAAGGATGGAAAAACTGAAAGCTATTACCCTTAGCCGGTCGAGTGCTGCTAATGGAAAGGCTGTTATCACAAATTCACTGAATAAATGGAATTAAAAGAGAAAACCCAGAAGGCAATTTCGAAAATCGGAGACGACTCCAATGAATAATGAAGTAATCACAATCCAATCGGCCCGAACGTCCAAAGAGGATCGAGCAGTTGGTTAGATTAACCGGAGTCTATGTTGAGAAAACACCATGGCGGTGCGTACATTGGATGAAAAATCCACGGTAGAATGGAATCTTTGTCTCGGAGTTAAAAAGGAACCCCAAAATCCTTCAAAGAGTGTAAAGAAATCCCACCTTGTTAAGTTTCTCAAAATTTAACATTTCAGTTCATTTAAATCCAGTGTTCACAATAAAAGTACATCAAACTTTATTCCTTGTATTTTAGATGAAGATGGCGGTGGTCGGGTGGTGCCCCGCCTCTGTGACCGGGCGGGCTGGTCGAATTACTGAGGGACCTATGGGTATCGAATGCCAAGCCTCGCCTACCAGCAAGCACATGAGTGACAATCTCTGATTCTTGCATGTGCTGTTGTAGACTGTCCAATGTGTGAGATTTTTCAGGAATCTTGCAGTGACTCACGCTGGAGAGAAGTGCCTGTTCCCAGGGTATTTCATACCGTCGAACCCAGGGATGCGACCCGGTCGTAGTGGCGGGATTTTCCGGGAATCTTGCAGTGACTTTCGCTGGAGAGAAGTGTCTGTTCTCGGGGTATTTCCTACCGTGGAACCCGTGGATTAGACCAGGTCGTAGTGGCTGAAATATCATGCTTGGAGTGTTGGATCATGGAGGGTGATTTAATTTCCTTCACAAGAATGACTTGAACTAACAGTAACAGTTTTACTATTTTTGGCGAAGTCCGCCATGGTTTTACAGGCACAACGAGTACGTTTAAATTGTACGTGTTGACGCTATGCGTCGCTAAAAAAACTAGGAGTCGTCTGCGTGTAACAGGGCAATTTAAGGGACATGTAGTGGGCGCAGAGGGTGAGGCTTGGGCGCTATTCTTTTCAGCGAATGTTTGTGCGCATGCGCGCTGATATGCAAATGTAGGTAAACAGAGGTAAGATGTTTTCTGTAATGGAATTATAGTGTTAACAATTTACCAAAAAAAGCAAAACAAAACCAAAGAATTAAGTTTTTTCCTTTGCCAACCATGACTTCGGAGGACGATAACCAAGATTATTCAAAATGTATTTAGAAATCAACTTACATTTGCTTCAGCTGGTCAACCCGTTTGGCAAAGTAACTCAATGTTGTTTGTTCAGCCGCCATGCATTTGACTTTTCCCGAAAGATAAAGGGCTTCCTGATTTCCTCGTCTGATGGTTTGTATGCAGCGTTCAAATTCTCCTTTGACTGCCACGAACAAAGAACAATATCCAGGCAAATACTCAATTAGCTGCAAAAGATAAAATCATTTATTATTATTATTAGTAATATTTTTTTTTGTACTTTGACGTTATTTGTACAAATAGATTTGACAGAATTCAATCTGGATCATCCCTTAGACAAAGCCAAGGGAATACATGGGCAAGATGCAACCTGGTTCCTTCATACACGTACACTTCACATATGAAATAATAAAATTAAAATGTACGGGAACAATGTCAGGTTCAGTTGTTTTCCTTGTGGACAGAAAGTGATTGTGCAACAATAGAAGGTGTTATAACACCTCACCCGCAGATTCTGTGTCTTGATTGGCCGCGAGTGAGTCACATGATACTTTCTATTTTTGCTATCTTTCTGTGCACGGCCAAAAGTACCGTACAATACCATTAGCAACCAAAGTACTATTTCCACGGCGCGGTATTTGTGTGCAAATGCATGCTGGTGAGCGTGTTGCGCGTTTTGTTCCAAAGAGAGCGCGCCACAGAGTTGGGTTCAAACATTTCGCGAAGGGGAGGTTTGGAAGAGAGAAATACATTTTCCACCAATTTTGTATTGAAATTGAAGTTTATTTCAACTGTGTTCAGATTTAAATAATTTAAAATATTAAAACCAAGCAGAATCTGTGGGTGAAGTGTTATAAAACAAATATTGAATGCTTTATCTCGTGGTGAAGTAAAACTAGCCTCCCTCGGTGATCCATGGAGCATTTTATTTTCCCTCGGCTTCGCCTCGGGAAAATAGAATGTCCATGGATCACCTCGGGAGGCTAGTTTTACTACTCCACTCGAAGCATTCAATATTTGTATACTATAATATACCCAACTAGAAATGGCAGGTACAGGTACCAGTACTTTTTTGGGGGGGGGGGGAGAGAAGGGATTATGACAAAAATGTACATGACCCTTTCCAGATTCTAACATACTTCCTGGCAAGGGAAGCACACTTTACTTTTACAATCACCGATATCATTGTAAAGGGGTACTTTCAAACTCATGCAACAAGTGTAACCTATGATCCTTTTGAGTTTTTACGATTAATTGAGTGGTTGGGTTGTGCCGGACCACTGTCTGGAATGGTTCTCATTAATATTTTTTCTTTCTTTCTTTCTTTCTGATAGTGTGCTTGTATTTTGAGGCTCTGGTTATTTGATGTGAGTGTATTGTAGTTATGCTGGTGTATGTGTTACATTCTGAGATTTTCTTGTATATTCTTGAGGTATTTTGGCAGGTTAGACTTGTGTCGTGTGTGTTGAATCTCTCCCACACAGACCAATGCCATTATGGCAGGTCGAGGGGGGAGAACAGGCATGCACATAGCAAGAAACAATAATACAACAATAGTCCTATTTGGCATAACAATACATGTTTGTTCCAGAGACTATGCTGTAACAATGAAGTAGTTTTTGAAGGGAAAGAAGAAACTCCACTGTCGTTTTATGTGAACGAAATGGCCAAGTCCGTACCTGCCAAAGCAATCTTGTTTGCTTCAAGAATCGTTGGCAACCGTATTGCCATGTACTTTGAAAACAGAACATTTGCAGAGGAAGTTGTGTTGAACGGTATGGTTGTGAATAATTATCTGGTTGACATTATTCCCCTAGTACATCAAACAACTGGGTTAGTTCTTTTGAATGTTTATCCAGAGTTACTTGATCATGTTTTTGCTGATAATATTAGCAGTCTTTGTAATATAGTGTCCCTTATCATGGCATGAAAGATAATTTTTCTAACGTTTTGTCGTTTCGATGTCAGGTACACGTACTCATTGACAGAAACATATATATCCCAAACCATATCAATATTTTCCACGTAGGTGGGAAATACAGGGTATATTTGTCCAACAATGTTGTGAAGTGTTTTGCTTGCGGAGAAAGCGGCCATACAAGAGAGCATTGTCAGAACCCTCTTAACGAAGACAACAAAGATAATCGGGCTAATACTGACAACAATCCATTTAATCCTCCCTCGGTTTTCATGCAATCCAAAAAAATTAGACCGTAAACATCGATCAAAGTCCTCTAAAACTCCTCAGGTTAACTCCAACTGATCCTATGATAATGAGGTACGACCACTCTCCTTATCACCTCCCCCTCCCTCCACACCACTCCTTCCTACCTTACCTCCACCTATCTCACATCTTGAACCATTCCTCTCATAACATCCACTATCCCCATCTTCAACCCTTTCTCTCCCCCCATCTCCACAAGCACCAGCCCCTCCCAAACCTGTCGCTTCCAAACCAACTGAAAATATCAGTGTTTGGGGCTCTCCCCCGGCCCCTCAAGAACGCCCTTCTCGGAAGTTGTTGTGAAGCGAAAGAAGACATCCTCATCTCCGCCCTGCAAGGGACTAATCAAACTTATGGCCGTATCTCCTCCTAAATAGGTTGCCAAGCCATCCAGGCCTGAACACGTTAAAAACCCAACTCTCTCACAGGCTTTAATTCCAAGTATTCTTTTCACCGTAACCATCTCAGAAGGATCCATCTCCACAAACAACGTGTGTTAGCGTCACTGAGATGAACAACTCGATGTCAACGATTTCAGCTCCCAGCTCCCAACTCAACAAAGATGACAAAGAATGTGACTTGTCACTCTCCGCAGGCCATCTCAACAACAAACAAATGTCGCACTTCTTGTCTAGTGTCAAAACTTGAAAGAAACCTGGAGATATCGCCAAAAAATTCTCCAGTGATATGCCGGGTTTGGTCAAACATTCAGCCCTTAGGTAATTGCCCCTGCTTAAAGAGAACATGCAGATGGGGATACATAAACTGATCAAAGTTTGGGTGACCGAGACAGCTCACACCTGATCCCCAAATGAAAATAAACATGCACTTTTTTTCATGTTGTCATGGCAATCTTCCTTGTAACAATCAATACAGGAGGATGCTCTAGCCCAATCAAAAATACTGCCCTCCAGCAGTAAATCAACTTTCTTGTCACAGCCCGGATATTGTATTTCTTCAAGAAATCCCCCCCACAGAAGTGTGGTTGGGGTCTACGAGCGAATACTTACCTGTAGAGCAATACTACTTTTGCATATTCCCTAGACCGGCAGGTATTTTCCGCTAAGAGTATTACACAATAGCGCCCTACAATACAATTATGTTCTACCCATAATTCCCCATGGCATGTATGCCTCATGAGCGTCCTCTTTTCTCGAGCAGTAAGTTGGAATACAAAATGTACTCATGGCGTCGAGAAGAGTGAGGTAGGAGGGAGGGATGCTCTACAGGTAAGTATTCACTCGTAGACCCCAACCACACTTCTGTGGGGGGAGTCTACTTCACTCTACTTACCTGTAGAGCAATACTACTTTTGCATAGACTAGCACCGTCAAGGCGGTGGATCATGCGAGATGCTATTGTTCTTTCACTGGGGCACGTAACACAACACGTAAACCCCGCCAATATGGCAGGTTCGTCATGACAAAATGCGTTGTGAGAAGCCTGTTGGTATGGCACGGTTGTCACAACAAAAATGTGTCATGAGAAGCCTGCTGGTATGGCAGGGTAGTCATAACAAATACGTGTCGCAAGAAGCCTGCCGGTATGGCAGGGCTGTCTCGACAAATACATGTACAGTACATGTAACTGCAAGTGATCGATTCAAAGTGTCCCTGTGCAGCTTATGTACGACGTCAAAGTCAGGATCGGCACGAAAATTCTCCGTCTGGAATGGACAAGAATAATTTGATGCCTGGAACAAAGATGTTTGGAGGCAAAAGGACTCCGACGTTCTCAGTTCAAAATCCTTCCGTAGAAATCGGACGGGCATACTCGGTCCACACCAGATGTGGTTCGTCTCCACTATACAGCAAGCAGTTCTTTTCTACATGTACATCTAGAAGTAACAACTGCTAACAAAAAAGTAACCTTAGGGACAATTGAAACAGATGTGAAATTGTCCACTAGTTCAAGTAACTTCAAGTCATGTTTAAAGATCTTCAGGGGTGTTGACATGGGAGTACGACTGTCTAACATAAAGCAATGCATGTATACTGTCATGTTAGAAGTCCCTCAAGTGCAGGCAGTAAAAGCCGTAGCTTGTTTGAGAAAGGTCTGATGTGAATAGGATAGCATGACAGCACCCAGCACATCAGAAGAAATTCCTGCGGAGCTGGGAGAAGGAAACCCAAGCTGCGTTGGAGCAGAATATTTTTATCCTCGGAAGTACCCCTGACTGGTGAACCAAGGGAATGGTTAAAGCCCTGGGAAACCAATCAATGGGACCAACATGGAGTAAAAAGGAGGACCTTGTCATCATTCTGCTCCAGTTGATTCAGTACCTGAAGGATAAGAGGAAACGGCGGGAAGGTATAAACAAGCAGCCTGGCCGTCTCCATCACCAGTGTGTTCGTCTGCCACGTTCAGGGGTCAGGAACCCTTGCGCAGTACACTGGAAAAATGTTACTAATCAGTGAAACAAGCAGATGGTTAGTTGTTTAGCAGCTACCACTGTCGAGAGGATCCACCACCCCTAAGGAGGACGTTAGATACGACGTTCTCCTTGTTTGGGAGGGGAATAGCCAAAAAGCACAAAACTGCCATGACAATTAGTGAAGGCTGTGATCTGTGAGGCACACCCTTGTGAGTTGCACAAGTCAGGGCATGGCCTGCACTGAATGTAGTGATGACTGTGCCGATCTAAGGAAAATAGGTGAATGTCACCACTCTCCATTTCCGCAGTACAGCCCAATAACTTTACTATCTGAGCAGATGCCAGGAGTGAGACGAAAAGGCTGAATGGGGCCAACATGAATTTGCAGCAGGAATCTTTGTTCGAAACCGCAAAATTCTCAATGCTCTGGCCTGAGAGGAAGTTGCTGTTGTGTACCCTTCAAGTCAGGGCTGGTCCCCCATGCTGACATGTATGAAAGTTGACTAAATCTCATTAACATCTCCCCAAGGGAAAAACGTGAGGGGCGCAACACTGTGTTGGCCGATGGTATTGATATCAGCCTCAAAGTCTCTACGACGAGCTCACACGAAACAGACTGGTGGAGG